GCCCCGCTGCGGGCCCGCGGGATGTCAGCCCCGCCGGGACGGGCGCTGGCCCGGGCGCGGCCTGCCGCGCTGCAGAGGGCGGCTTCGCCTCCTGCCCTGGGAGCAGCGGCTTCAGTCCCGTAAGGTCCCGAGCTTTGCCGTTTCCCGGTAATGCGATGGCGGTAACGAGCGGTAATGGACGGGGGGGGGAAGATGCACCTGAAAGTGCGTGAGGATGAGAGGTGTCCTGTGCCTGAGGAGGAAGCGCTCTCCGCATTTTGCTGCGGTGGAAGGAACGTTGCCATCATGTTGGAAACTAGGCTGATACATCAATTAACAGAAACCTGCACGTAGAGCCACTTTTCATAGATGTGTTGCCAAAACACATGGTTTAAGAGTGGGCTCTTGATTTCACGGCTGTCATCCTCACTTAGTTTCTTTTTCTTATCTAAATCACTTGTCAGATTTTCGGTTTGGACTGTTTAATAGGCAAAGTCATATCTAAGTTTCTCAAAACAGCAAAGTATTGTCAGGCTTCAGCCCCGCTCTTGAAGGGGGCTGAGGTCCAGTGGCTCTTGAAGAGAATGGTTTTACAAAACTGTTTACAAATCAAGCCTGGAAAAACTATAAATAGCAAGGCAGTAGAAATCACGAGCATGTGCGTTGGCCAGGTTATAGTTTATCAATAAAATAAGGTACTTCCTACTCTGTGAAAGTATACACGTAGGGACTGCAGATCTGTTTTGGAGGCTGCTTTCCTGCAGTCATGGCTTTTGACAGATAGAAGAATTATAGAAAGAGAGTGAAGCTTGAAAAAATACTTTGGCATTGAATAAGTATGTTATTATACAGTAATTTTTTGCTACTTCTTAGTTCCTTATACCTCTCCCTGTGACTTTACAGTTGCGTATTCTTTCTGGAATTTTCTTTTTATTTTTTCACTGGTAAATTTACTACTAGAATTAATTTCCCTGCATTTGCATTGTCGGTATCAGCACAATGATTTATTTTTTTTAAAGTTCTGTATCAGAGAAGGTTAAAATACTCTGTTTCTCCTCGACGCTATTTACGAAAACAACAACAAAAAACGTGGGGAAGTCTGTAGGTGATACAAATTCTTCTGCGCTTAAGCAGTAAAAACATAATTTTCAGAAAGTGCTGTGATTTTAGTAAATGTTGTCTTCGTATCTCTGAAAATGTTAAAGGCAGTGATAACACTATACAGTTAGATATAACAGGATACCAAGTTCATAAGAATACAAAGACTAGGGAACCTAAACATAAATCTGACAGTTTATTTTAAATATGTTTAACGTATTCTGAAATAAGCTTTTAAACACACTTTGTTTGTCTTGTATTTGCGCCAGGTAAATTTAATGACTGTAGAATGGCTCTGGAAATCAGAGGGAAGTATAAATATCTGTGGAAAAGTTTGCTTGGTAGCGCAGATTGGGTCTTTAGTAAGTAAAGATAGCACTTTTTCAAGACTTAAGCTTGTGCTGTGGATATTATACTGTTGATCATGGCCATGCTTTTCTGATAGCAAATATCTGAAAAGGTAGTGCTTTGAGTCAATTTTTCAGAAACTTTCTGATTTTCTGCTGGCTGGATAGTTCTATTGAGCTTTGACTGTACAGAGTAAGTGCATTGTTTGAATCTGCAGTTTTGTAGGCTAGTGAAATAGTAGATGCTGAGAAACTCTAATTGCAATGCTCTTTCATGTTGTTAAAGGTGTGAGAGTCCTCGTAGATGCCAGAGAGAAACTTCATATCCCTTGGGGAGATCCTGCTAACCAGAGTAACGGAGATACGATGATGGCTTTCGATACTCGGTCCGTCACGGTGGCGCAAGGCATGGTGGAGACGGCCGTTTTTTTACAGTACCTTCCAGCCATAAGATCTCTATGGGCGGATAGTGGTATCCAGCATGCGTACGACAGGCGCAGAGAATTCCAGCTGGTAAGATTTGTGTTTCAGTGTTTTTAATTGTGTGTATGATTCTTGTTCCTGTGTTGCTTTTCCGTAAAACACTGATCAAGCAGCCTCCTTATGGATCTTAAGCGTTTTTGAATGGTAGACTTTTACACTGTGGTATTGCAAACAGATGCATTTAGCTCCTTCCCCCTGCTTTTTTAAAAAACACAAATAATAAAGAGCTTCTGACATAATTGGCCTCATTTCATATGTGAGAAAGCTGAGGTATAGAGGGCTTTTATGTTTTGTTACAAAGCTGGTACCTGTGTAATGTTTTTAACATATGATTATTTCCACCCTTTGTTAACTACTGCACTGACTTTAGAAAAAAAAAAAAAACACACACCAAAAAATGGTTTACAATAAAAGCAGAATTAATAATAACGTAATTTTTAAGAAAAGATATGCATGGGTTAATGAGAAGAATTTAAAAACCACTCCCTTCTCTATTCCAATTTGAGCAATCTACCAAACATTCCCTCTGTATACTTCCTGTTTAATTTTGAATGTCTATGTTAATACTCATGTAATGAGATTTCTGTAATATTGAAGTTCTCGGCTGAAGATGGAGTATACAATTTAATAGTGGGGTTGAGATGGAGTATGCAATTCAATAGTGGGCTCGGAAAGGAAAAAGAAACATGTCTTGATTCTTGAGCTGGAGCTTTAACTGCCCGTGACAGCTAAAGTCCCTTTGCTCCATTTCCATGCAAACGCCGCAAAAGGAAACAAAGAATTTAAGTTAAATTTACTGTTATTGGTTCATAGACTTGTGTAGTAAATGCCAGGGGCATGGGGTTTTGTGGGGGTGGGGGTTGAGAACCTTAAAATAGATTAAATCTGTTCTTGTAGGTCTCTTAAACCTAAGTGGCTTTGTGTTTTTGTGTCTTAAAAATAACCTTTGTGTTAGTGTGAATCTGAACAATAGCTGATGATGTCTCCTGTTGAGCTATTATGAGTGGTTGTGTAATCATACTCTGACTTAAATAGGTTGTGTAAATACTCTATAAATATGTATTGCCCTGATCATGGAATGTCTTCAAGAGATTGCAGAATGGGCAGGTGCTCGAGTAGCCTATCGCCTGCCCAGCCTAGTTCTGAGCTATGTAAATAAGTTTCTAATGAGACCTATTGCTCCTTGGATTTTGCCTTCAAAGTGATCATAAAAGGGTAGTTGCTCTACTGTAGTCAGGGTGGTCTTCTGGTGCAGATGTGACTTCTAGTGATGTGATTGCTGTGCTGGTGTGATCAGTTTTAAAATTGGTTAGATAAAATTGTTTTGTCTTTGATTAGGCATGTTTAGTGACTTCAGCTGAGTACCAAAGGAAGAGGGAGCCATTACTATTTTGTCATCTTGAATCTCTGAGAAGTAGGTTCTTTCCATAATTGAAGCATGTGCAGAGTTTCACTTTGAGTAGGACTTGAAGAATGTGTTCTTCTGAATCCGACAGAAAAAAAACTGTTTGTTTCTTTTGGAAATCCCTAAATCTATATAATGTTCTCTGCAAAAATATAGATGTGTTGTATCCTGAAGGTGGAACTCGAGAATATTTTTTTCAGTGCTCTTAATAGTTGAGTACTGTCCTAATACTAATTTTTGAAAGTAAGGTAACTGCTTTATTTATACTTACATTGCTTTATTTCCTAAATCCTTTCAAAATCTCAGCCTGAGCCAAGTTATAAACATAAAAAAAAGAAAAAAGAAGCTGAATGATGTCATTGTATTGAGTACAAGCAGTGTGATCACTGGTGGCCAAGCGTGAAGTCTCTGTTTTACCCTAGTAAGCTTCCAGCTTAAGGTATGACAGAGCTCCATGTGGGCGGCACAATGGCAGAAAACTCCTGAAAGCAGTGCGTATTTTTGCCATACTTGCTGATAGGCTTTGTAGAAGAGTGTTCAGAGAGTTTAGACGTGCTGTAATATGGAACAAAGACAAAATGGTTAAGGAGGGAGTGACAAGCACAGCCGAGTCAGGAGGTATAGCAAGAGGAATTTGGAAGAGACGCAGACAGTTCAGTTGTGTCAAGTACTGACTCTCAAAGTAAGGATTCAAGACTGAAATTTGTTAGCATTGTAGGATGGGGAATAAGAGAAAAATACTATTTTACTTCCAGTTCAACTGCTTGTGGCAAAAAATGTAATGAAAGGGGAGATCAGCAATCATTAGGTGAGTAGGAGAGAGGGAAAAGTGGCATTAAAAAAAAAAGTAAAAGGCTGGAACTGAGCATGGTAGAAAAGCATTATCTGACTGTGCATATTCTAACGTCTTTTCAGACTGTTAAGCGAGCTTTACCTTTTTTTCCCTAGACTGAGTTTGACACTGCACTGAAAAACATGGTTTGTATTAAGAGAGCACAGGCAGGAATGCTGGGAAAGTATTGTTTGTCAGGGGAATGGGACACTTTGGGGCAAAGGTAGAAGGGAGCAAATGAACAACAGAGCAGTGATGAATAAGGAGTGAAAAATGCCAAAATTTACATAGAAATTCTGGAGGAAAGGAAGCAAGAGTGTGTAGTTATAGGAGCCATTTGTAACCTGGACAGATAGGAAGTACAGAGAAAGGGGGTTTAAGATTAAAGTTGCTGCATATATGTGAATAAAACTTAAGGATAAATGTACATTTGTCAGAAGTCATGGAGCTGTTCTTGCTTTTTTTCGTTTTTCTCCATCATCATTCACTTACAATGCCAGAAACGATGCTAGAAGCCTAAAGAAACAATGTGGTCCTTTTATACCAGCGTGAGAGGGGAAAACCCAGAACTTGGTTTTATTTTAATGGAATTAGAAATCAGCTTTTCCGTGCCTAGTTCACTGGAGTGTCCTTCCTCATTTTGTTAACTTAAGTGGTCATGGGGATAGTCAATATGATTTATTTTCCTTGGTATAAAAATAGGGGCCTTCTGGCCACTAATAACAGTATTTATGAAAGTTCATTAGTTCACACTTGTGCAGTGCTTTAAAACTGGAAAGAGCTAATTGCAGCTTAGTACAATATGTGCCACTTCAGTACTTCTTGAGTGGTTAATATTATAATCCCTCAAATTTTATTACGAACTGAAATCATTCGGGTGATAGTTCCACTAACACAGTTAACTAAAGACTATTTTGACTCTGTAGCATAGTCAGTTCCTCTAACTTACACTTAGGATTCTGGTCATCCTCAGGTTTTCTCTCCTTCATCTGCCAAGCTTATTTCTTCTACAGCCTCTCGTGAGATGGCTAACGTGGATTAGTTACAGAGTTAGTCTGAATCAGCCTAAAGCTTTCTGACATCTAATTAACATTTCAGATTTCTCATTGCAAGTTGATTTCCGGTAAAAATCTCCTGAAATGACTTGGATAAACATGCCCGTTACCGTAATTCTACATCACGCAAACCGATTTAACTAGGCATTTCCTAGCCTTTATATTTGTACTCGTGAGCTGTTCGGTGAAGTGGTTGTAAAGGTTTGGTGTTCTCATTGACATTTGCTTTGAGGCACTGGCAGCTGAGGAGCTCTAGTGCTGGTGCTGCGCATCTGGTAACACTGCCGAAAGCACTTCTGAGTGAGAGTGCCGTTGTACGCTGCCTCTCACTTCAGTGCGTTTGCTGTGAACTTGCATTTCTTGAATATGCTGCGAGAGTCGTTAACGGAGAAGCATTTTGAAGTGGTCTCCAGGAGTCTTGTAATTCTCTGAGAATGGAAAAGTGGGATAAGGGCTGAGGTGCTCAGATGCATGATAAGCTTTGAATGTGCTAAAGGTTAGTTCTTGTTAAAGATAGCTTTTGGGTGGGTTTGGATGTTTGCTACCAGCAATTGTTGATCTTCAGATTGATACTTTTTGGCCTATTGCAAATTACACTGAATGTTGGAGGGATTTTTTTATGCCATGAACCTGCGGCACGCAGGGGCAGTGATGAGGCTTTATTCTGTCTGCATTTGCATAGAACTGCAGACACAGATGATACAGTAAGGATGATTGGATATGCATTTACCTCTGGATCCTGTTTACTTCTGTGACATGTCTGCAAGCGCTAGATCAGATTATAGAAGACAGGAAAAGGCGTGTTCAGCTTGAAGTTCTACTGCTAGTTTTGCTGCAGCTTCTCAGTAGCATTTTTCTGTTGCAGAGTAGTTATTTTTGCAGAGTGTTGTTCAGTTTACTGGAAGATTGTATTTTACCTTATTCTGGTTGGGCTTTTCTGGTTTCTGTCACTGAACATTGATGGGGCTGTTGTACACAGAGGACATTAAATTACTTCTACGGGAAATAACGAATCCTCAAATGGCCACTGCAAAGTATTATGAAATGTACCATTCCTTCAGGTGCATAGGCAGCACATACTTGAAATGTGCTTGATTAGAGAGTAGTGATCCTGCGGAGGTCAGTGGTGTTTGAAGCCAGACTGAATTGCCAGATGTTGAGGTCTTCCTATTTCCAAAGTCTGGATGCCCATCTTATGAAACAGTTGTGAGGTCAGTACTTCAACGTCTTGCTGAAGTCATGAGCGTAGAACCTGGAAAAAGAGTATTGTGTGTGTTGTTCATTAAAAGCATCTGCATCATATTTGTGGCACTGAATTTCAGAAGCCTTTTGACAGCTTGTGCCCTCTGTGATGTGTTGATATTCCTCCCAGTGTTCATCCTCTACAACCTCCCCGCACCCCTCAGTTGGGGGCTAGAGATGTCTTTCCCCTCTCCCAGATCTCCTCTTGGTTCTGGGATTGGGTGTTTGGTTGTCCCGCTCTGATTCTGCTTGAAGCGTGTGGGTGGTGCTTCTATTAGGACATGCTTGAGTGCATAAACTGTCGGCAGAAAGTTCCTCAGACTGATAGAAGAATCTTCTTCGCTACGGATGTGAGATACAATCATCCAGCATTTCTGTAAACACGTGCATTGACTATTTGAGCACTTAATCATATAGTTCAGAGTTCCTTTATTTAAAGACGGTGTTGTAGTTACACTGAATATTGCTTAAATTTTTGTGGGGAAAAACAAAAAGC